GTCTCTGACAGAAGCATTCTGCTGCCTGCAGGATGACTCTGGGATGCCAACAGGGATGGCGAGTTTGCTCACTGCCCCGCTGATGGCTGACAGCACAGCAGAAGACTCTGTGAGTTATGTTTCATACACTTATCCATAGGGCTGCACGATATTAGGAAAACCTGCGATATTCGATAACAGTGCTTAATATTGCGATATCGATATTACTCACGATAAATGGACAAATACTAAAGTATGCAGTGTTGATGTCGTCTGGCGTGTGACGTCTGCTCTGGGTTCAAAGCAAACAAAAACTAATGCATGAATTCCATTACAACATAACATTTTTATTGCAAAAACATGCAGCTGCACCTGCTACTGTATTAGCAGCTGCACCTGCTACTGCATTAGCAGCTGCACCTGCTACTGTATTAGCAGCTGCACCTGCTACTGCATTAGCAGCTGCACCTGCTACTGCATTAGCGGCTGCACCCGCTACTGTATTAGCGGCTGCACCCGCTACTGTATTAGCGGCTGCACCCGCTACTGTATTAGCGGCTGCACCCGCTACTGTATTAGCGGCTGCACCCGCTACTGTATTAGCGGCTGCACCCGCTACTGTATTAGCGGCTGCACCCGCTACTGTATTAGCGGCTGCACCCGCTACTGTATTAGCGGCTGCACCCGCTACTGTATTAGCGGCTGCACCCGCTACTGTATTAGCGGCTGCACCCGCTACTGTATTAGCGGCTGCACCCGCTACTGTATTAGCGGCTGCACCCGCTACTGTATTAGCGGCTGCACCCGCTACTGTATTAGCGGCTGCACCCGCTACTGTATTAGCGGCTGCACCCGCTACTGTATTAGCGGCTGCACCTGCTACTGTATTAGCACCTGCTACTGTATTAGCAGCTGCACCTGCTACTGTATTAGCACCTGCTACTGCATTAGCAGCTGCACCTGCTACTGTATTAGCAGCTGCACCTGCTACTGTATTAGCAGCTGCACCTGCTACTGTATTAGCACCTGCTACTGCATTAGCAGCTGCACCCGCTACTGTATTAGCAGCTGCACCCGCTACTGTATTAGCAGCTGCACCTGCTACTGTATTAGCACCTGCTACTGTATTAGCAGCTGCACCTGCTACTGTATTAGCAGCTGCTACTGTATTAGCAGCTGCACCTGCTACTGTATTAGCAGCTGCTACTGTATTAGCAGCTGCTACTGTATTAGCACCTGCTACTGTATTAGCAGCTGCACCTGCTACTGTATTAGCAGCTGCTACTGTATTAGCAGCTGCTACTGTATTAGCACCTGCTACTGTATTAGCACCTGCTACTGTATTAGCAGCTGCACCTGCTACTGTATTAGCAGCTGCTAATACAGTAGCAGCTGCACCTGCTACTGTATTAGCAGCTGCACCTGCTACTGTATTAGCAGCTGCACCTGCTACTGTATTAGCAGCTGCACCTGCTACTGTATTAGCAGCTGCTACTGTATTAGCAGCTGCTACTGTATTAGCACCTGCTACTGTATTAGCACCTGCTACTGTATTAGCAGCTGCACCTGCTACTGTATTAGCAGCTGCTACTGTATTAGCAGCTGCTACTGTATTAGCACCTGCTACTGTATTAGCACCTGCTACTGTATTAGCAGCTGCACCTGCTACTGTATTAGCAGCTGCTAATACAGTAGCAGCTGCACCTGCTACTGTATTAGCAGCTGCACCTGCTACTGTATTAGCAGCTGCACCTGCTACTGTATTAGCACCTGCTACTGTATTAGCAGCTGCACCTGCTACTGTATTAGCACCTGCTACTGTATTAGCAGCTGCACCTGCTACTGTATTAGCACCTGCTACTGTATTAGCAGCTGCACCTGCTACTGTATTAGCAGCAAAACAACAAACTGCATGCATGCAGTTTCTCAGTGACTTTAAAACATCACCTCCACCATAAAACTTTTTCTGATGCTCCAAATACAGAAAAACATCCCTTGCCAGGGTTTTTAGAATAAATAGTTTAAATGTTAAATAATAGTTAACATCACTTAAATACAACAGCAAATCCTCTCATTGCTACTGAACATTTTCTCCACTTATGTGGTTATGATATAAGGCTGTTGCTGCAATTGGGAAGTGAACTGTGCTGGGCCAAACTAGGAGAATATTAAGATTTTCTGAGGGAAAGAGAAAAACAATTGTCTACCTTTCAGAAGAGGAACTGGCAAAAAACTACATGGAAAATATGTGAAAACGTTTGTTTTTAACCCCAAATTGAACAAGTTTACCTAGACCTTAAAAAGCAGCTCAGATGATGAAACTGCAACTATGATTCTGGTAACAAGCTAACAAATTGAACTAGCTCCTAAGATAACCGGCTAGCAGAGCTTCTGACTGACCGTTTATGTGCAGCAGCAAATCAACTATCCTGATTAACAAGGTTATAAACGCTCATAAATGAAAAATCACTTTGATGTGTGGGGGGAACTTTTCCTGGCTCTCTTTAGCAGGGTGGGACTGGGAGGAGAGTGCTGTAGCCTTTTAGCTGGAAGCTAACCGGAGCCACCACCCGGTGGACACTAGCAACATGGAGGAAGGTGGGTTGGTTCACCGGCACGTGTCGGAGTCAGCCCGGTTATTATCAGCTGCTTAACGACACCGAGCGGACTCACGTTCACGTTTGAAAGCAGCGCTGATTCCAGAAACCTCAGCACAAAGTGCGTTCGTTAATCTGAGCCAGCATGACGAACAAGGGAACGGCGCCGCTAACTCAGTTCGGGTGCTGCTTTCCATCCTAAGGTCTACGTAGGGGGCGGGCGTATTACGTGAACGGACCCATCTGATTGGGCGCATATCAGAAGGGCTACATTTGATTGGTCAAATAATACTTCCGCGTAAAAAACAGAGCTGGTTTACAAAAAGCTGATGTATGACACGGATGGAAATGTTTGAACCAACATTTATCGCCGTTTTTGACGTGTTTTGCGATGGGCCTATCGCATGTCCTGTTATCGAGATGACGATAATTTTTCGATATATTGTGCAGCCCTAATTATCCATCAAGTCTTCAGATCAACAACAGGATGTCTTTTCTCTGCATGTTGTCCCCGTCCTCGTGGGTCTTCAGCCTGTTATCCGGTGTCGACCACGGAACCTGTTTCGCTCACCTTCCACGCCCAGTCCGGCGTCCCGTCCCTCTGGGAAGCGCCCCGACTGCCCCACTGACGAAAACACCCCCATCAGGGTAAAGAGACGACGCAGCCTGGCAGGAGCGTGCGTCACCACTCTGGAAGAAAAGTCGGAGTCTCCTAGATCTGTGAGTTTGTTGTTTGCATGAACGTTAACGGCAGCAGTAGTGTCCAAAAACAGGCAGGAACTCACTTTTAGTCTGAAACAAGGAGCCTTAAACCGTTCCAGTCCAGTGTAGTTCCAGATCTTTTCTGGGATGGTTTCTACTAACGAAGGGAACTGCAAACGTTCCTCAACACCAGAGTTCTACAACGCACTTCTCCGTTACGCCATGGCAACGAGTGCTGCTTCACACTACGGTTTATAAAACCACCTGAAATAAAAATAAAAGGCACAACTGCTTTATTTAGATTTTGTTAGCTAATTAGCGTTTAGCGTCGATACGAAGAGTCTTGAAAACAAACACACAGCAAATCAAGTCCAGGATTATAACGTTTGTGCCAGAAGTCCACAGAGACGCTCAGCTGTGTCTGTTGGGGTAAACTGTTCACTATGGTGCACTATTTCTGCAGCCATGACTCCGTGTTTATTATACACACGGTTCTGTAGGCAACGGCCCGCTGGACCTTTCTAAATGGGTCGTGTTTCTCCTCCTAAAGTCAGTTTTTTTCTCCTTCCAGAGTTTTTCTCTGCTCCAAAGGTCCAAGTCCTTCTGTCACGTAGAGATAGAGAAGCTGCTCGACCGTGAGAGCGGCTCTCATGAGCTGATAGGAGACTTCACTAAGGTAGGGCAGACTGGAGTCGGCTGTTTTCTTACTCAAACGGGTTTAAAAGTGTTTCCTCTTCTTTAGCCTTTCGTGCTGCCCACCGTGGAGGGCAAACATCAGGACCTGAAGTACATCACCTCTGAGATGGTGAGCAGAGCCTTTGATAGAAGCCCTTTCTGAGCAAAGACTTAATGCTATCAGTGATAATCGTTTCATGACGTTTAGATGGTCGCAGCTCTGACCGGACAGTTTGATCATTCAGTCGAGCAAATCATCGTCATCGACTGTCGCTACCCTTACGAGTTTGAAGGCGGACACATCAAAGTAAGTGAACCGACGAGCGTTTGAAATACTGACACAGATTTAGCGTCTCACATTCGGCTTTGTATTTACCAAACTTGCTTTGGTGTGATTGGTTCCAGGGTGCTCTGAACCTGCATCAGGAGGAGCAGGTTGAGAACTTCCTCCTCAGGACACCCATTGCCCCGTCCTTCCCAGACAAACGGGTTGTCATCGTCTTCCACTGCGAGTTCTCCTCGGAGCGTGGCCCTAGAATGTGCCGCTTCATCCGGGAGCGAGACCGCGCTCTGAACGAGTATCCCAAACTCCACTACCCCGAGCTCTACGTCCTCAAGGATGGATACAAGGACTTCTACCATCATTTTCAGGTCCGTTTGGATTCTGAGTTGTCTACATTGAGAAATGGGTTATTGTCGTCATCAGGAACTCTTGTTAGGGCTTGAGGTTAGTTTTGCATTAATACGAAGCCGGTTTCTGTCTCTGGCATTGGTGATGAACATCTTAGGAGCACCTTAAAGTATCAACGATGCAGGACCGCAGCGACATAAACACAGGTAGATTACAGGTGTAAGAGCAGCTAATTGGGTCAGGCCAGACGACCTGGTGACTGACCTGGCAGCACGTTAAGAACAAGAAGAAAACGAATGAGGGGTGCCGTGTAGCTTCTGGTGTTCTTTTGGAAGAAGTTGCAGCATTTAATCAAACACCGGAAGGGAAGAACGAGATTTTAGGTGGAAGCTGCTGGGAGCCATACTTCTAGTGGTGATGTAACTTTACCAGGGATGTAACGATGCGCTAAGATCGGTTTAAAACCAGTTTAATATTCATCGTTTTAGAAAGAAGAAATCAAGTCACAGCGGCTACAAATATTACGTAATATGGCATGCTTGCTTGCGCCAGACATTGTGCCAAAGTGCTGCTAATCAGAGCAGGCAAGTAAGGATGCAACAAATTATTATTGTTAATAATAATGATCAGTGACCTGTATGGATCGGTTCAGTGGTGGTCATAAGGAGGAGGAGCTTATTAAACCACCTGCATCATTTAAGCATATGGGAGCATTGTGGCTGCGCTGTAAGATACAATCATCCAAAATTTAGCACGTGCTTTCAGTCTTAAGGTGCTGCGCGCACACACACACACACGCACACACACACACACACACACACCTCTGATCATTGGAAAGGAGAAGGGTGGTGTGCAAAACATGCCTCTGACAATTGTCACAAAGGTGGTAAGGCCTGTAAATATTGTTGGGGACAAATCTGTAAAAGAGGACTAAATAAAAATAAACGGCGCATCAGAAAGGTGAGGAGATGACCAGTGAAAGCAGGGGACACTCGGAGAGCATCTACATTGGGCAAGCCATTTTAACAATTAATCAGCAATGACACCTCTGTGTAGCTCCTGATTTTAGCAAGTTGCACTTTGAGCAGAAATTTTTGCACCAAGTTTTCTACAATATAAAGAAAGAGCAAAGCTTTTTGTTTTTTCTGTTCTTTTTCTTTCTGCCGATCCGAAAAACGACCCGATCCATGACTCAAAACCGTGATACGATCCAAACCGAGAGATTTTTCCTCGGCTGCACCACTAGAAGCAAGCATGGCTACAGCAAGCAACTTTGAGAAAGTGGATGCTCCAAGCAGTTTGAAGTCAACAGTGGTGCAGCATTGTGGCTCCTCCACGAACGACATCCTGACAAGACAACAAGGGTCACACTATTGTTCGTGTTCTCCATGGCATTTGTACACGATCACTGCTGCACCTTTCAATGATAAAGGTCAACTACGTACACAGGATCGGTTAGGCCACGTGTAAGACACCACACTTGTATTAAGGCAAAGGCTTTAAATAGGGATGCACCGATACTGATAGTGATGCCAGTATCAGTAAAAGTAACCGATACAATGCAGTTGCCTGAAAGTGGCTTTACTGTAACTTGTCATTTCTGTTCACCTAGTATTTTAATTTTGTGATCATTTCTATTCATTTATTTAATTTATTTACCTCAGTCTTTTCCTGTTGAAAGCAGAGAAGAAAATAAAACCTGTATTCCAATTCATTACATGTTTTTGTGTGGTAGAAGTATCGATATTGGCGAGTACTCGGATCCAAGTATCGTGTCGTATCGGTTTGGAAAAAAGTGGTATAGTTGCATCCCTAGTTTTAAATTATGTGCGCCTACATTCATAACTATGAAAGTAAGTTGGCAAGCTTCTGGCTTGGGTTGATAAATGCTACATGCTAGCTTAGGGCTGGGCTATTAATCAAAAATGTATTATCGAAATTTCTGACTAATCAATATCGGTTTATCATGTCAGTATAGTCGGGAATAAAAGAAAATGAAAAGATGTTTGTAGGTAAGCAACGTTCATGTCCTTTTAAGGAGCTGTACCACCTCGAGTCATGTGACTCGATGTAATACATGTGACAGCCCCATCTAGTGGACAACTTTGTGAAATTCTCAATATTTCGTGATGTTGGTTTTAGGCAATATCGCCTAGCCCTATGCTAGCTCTTTGCTAGCACAGTGAGGAAGCAGTGCTAACAACGTTAGCAGAGAGTTATCATTTCAGAAACAAAAGACTCATGGTGTTAACCCGTCTCTATGATAACGTTGTTAGCGTGGCTTCAACACTGTGCCATCTTTGGCTAGTAAAGGTCTAGCATCTGTCATCATTTAGCAACCCAAAGCAATAGATGTAAGTGGTCACATGCTATTTAAAACCATAGTCTGTATTTGAATGTGGCGTCTTAAATATGGCTTGAATAATCCTGCCGACTGGCATCCATGGCAGGTTGTGCGCAATCGCTAAAAAAACGCAATCGACAACACAAACGGTGCTGCAACCCAGAAGTGATTCAACTGGCTAAGAAGTCAGGAAGCGTCAGACCAGGGGTCCGTGGCATAAACCCTGTTGAGCTCTAAACAGACGTAAATAATGGTTGCTTTTGTTTACATACATGCTAGTGTTAGCATCATCACAGCTAGCAGAAACTGAAGGATAAGAAGCAGTTTAAAACTCTCCTGAGCCCCTGCTTCAACATTAAAATGACTCATGATCCAGTTATGGAGTTTTTCCGTGGAGCAACAAGTTGAGCAAGTAATTATCGTCATGAGTCTTCTTCAGTTTCAGCATCATTGTTGCTTAGGAGTGGGGCTCTTAAGCTTCCTCATAATCTGATTACCTCTCACAGGGTCCTGTCTTCTCCCCTCTGTGTGACTCATCACTAAAGCCTCTATCGCCACCATGCAATGTGCTGGTGTTGCTGACAATGTTGCTTTATTGTAAATCATATTAACTGTTGCTCTCCCTGGCGATGACTCCCTGTCTCTGTAAGGCTGGAGGTAGCGCTGCTGCATGCTAGCATCATTGTTTTAGTGTGACTTATTCTTGTTGTGTGTGCAGTCCCAGTGTGAGCCCCCGTCCTACCGGCCCATGCTCCATGAAGATTTTAAGGACGACCTGAGGAAGTTTCGCCTGAAAAGCCGCACCTGGGCTGGGGAGCGCAGCAAGAGAGACATGTACACCCGCCTGAAGAACCTGTGACTTCCTCACTGAAGCCCGAGTCCTCGCCCATCTACGGGATAACAGCTTTTGAGATCGCACACGCTGAAAAAAGAATTTTTTATTTTTAGATCTCAAAAGTTATTTAACAAAAGTCGAAGGTTTGTGCAAATTTTAACCGAGGGCCGGTGTGACGAGCAGAAGACTCAGCCTGAAGAGAAAGCGTTCAGAGGTGTAATTAAGATGATTTTTGTTTTAGTAAAACCACTTGGACCTACTGTCTGTTCTACTTTATTTTATTTTATATGATGGCATTGGCTGCACATTCGGTGCCATCCAGCAATAATCCAACCAAACCAAGCTGCAAAGGCGCAGGTTTCTCGTATTGAAGCACTTAATTTTAATACCTTGGAATGGTATAGTGCTTTTTTTGATACGTTTTTTAGACATATGGTTGACAAGTTGTGTTTTACTTTAACATCATGTGTTTTTGTTGTGTTTAAGTGTCTCAAAATGCAAATTGGCTAATGGAATGATGTAAAAGATGAATACAGACGTTTTCATTTCTCATCCTTCTCAGCTGTGATTTTATTGTACCAAAGCACACAACGCCTACCTGGTGACTGCTCTGAGTCTAGCTTAGTGTGAGGAGATTTATGGTCTTGGCATCTTTTTAAAAAACGTTTTAATTGAATTACTAAATTTTCGTGTGTGTGTGTGTGTCAGTCATGGGGGGAGCTGCTGAAATAAACATCCAGTGTGTGACACAAAGACGAGCCTTCTGTCTGAATTGTGCCGTGTGAGACCGGTGAAGCTGGTTCTGGTTCTGACTCGTCCCAGCTGAGCATAAAGATGATTTAAGCTTTTGGTTTTAAGTTGGACGACTACATTTGATCCATGAATCTGCTCTCAGCATTCCCAGAAACCCTCAACAAGAGCTCTTCCTTTTTTGTTTTGCTTGATGGGCCGTGGACTTTGTTCCTGTTGGGGTTCTTTTTTCCTCTTTTTAAATTTCCCTCCAGCAGCCCGTTGTGGGAGTGGCCTTTGTGTTGCACTACTTACTCCGCCTCCCTAAACACACACATTCCTCTGTATGGAGGCGGCGCTGCAGCCTGACGTGCCGTGACTAGAGGTTAACCGTTGTTGCTGGGAAAATAAAACCGGCCACCACGTGCAGGAAAAACGTGACCCTCTGCAGAAAAGCACAGCCCTGCCCTCTGCAACTTGGTATTTTTCAAATTTGACTCCCATAGAAACCACACAGCAGCAGATAAGAGGAAAGCTCAGCTTGCATTTTACTAAAGAGCAACTTGATTTGGTTTGTTTAGAAAAAAAAACGAGTTTCTTATAAACTTGTTTCTAAAAAAGTTAAATCAGTTCAAAATCCAGATGAGTTCAAATAGGTCAGTATCGAAGCAAAATCTCACCTTAGAGCAAGAGGATCGGTCTTTCCCTCCCTGGTTGTAGATGTTCTAGATGTCTGATCAGATTTGTAAGCCAAAGCATAAATGTTTGCAGATCCTGCACCACTCGTCTTTAAGAGGTAGAAGTTTGAGCTCTAAATGCTAAAGAGGAGCTTTTATCTGATGTGGTTCTGAAGCTACTCTCATAACATCTCACTGATGTCGGTCAGGAATGTAGTTTCAACAGTTTGTGCTGGTGAACTCAACCCTGAGCCTTTCTGGTCAGCTGTTGTCCATCAGCGGTCAACAGGTGAGGCGGTTACACTGAATGCAAATCAATGCAGAAAGCATGTCCAGGCAGCCGTTAGAAACCTGACCCCACCCATCCCGTCTCAGCTCCTCACCTTCCCACCAACACCCAGAGGTGCTGCAGGCATGAAGGGTTCTTCATGGGTGAAGATATAAGGTCATGCTGCAGCTCTGTCTCCCAAACCCGAGTTTTAAACCCTGACAGGTGAGGCGATGGGTGGAACACCTGTTGTGATGCACAGCTGGGGTTTGGAGAGATGTAAAGGAGGAGTTTTCAGGGAACATCTCCATTTCTCCTCAAATCGACGCAATAAGAATGAAATGGGCAAAAAACAAATCTAGAAATTAATTTATCTGGAAATGAGCAGAAATGCAAGAGTTCAGGCAAATATATTATTAAATATTTCTGCTAAAATACAACCATACACTATCCTGGCAAGCAATTTATGTAAATATGTCCACTTAAACTACACAGTGCAACTTCAAGTCAATCACACTTTGTTGTGTCTACCACTAGGGAACAGTGTAGACCCTTTTACTGTTTGTAAACAATATGACGTCAGTGAGAATGCACGCGCAGCTTGGCAACAGAGCATGGCGTTGTGTCAGGCTTTATCAAGCTACACTGCGGGGTTATCACCGGCAAATCATGAATGTTCTATTATTAAACTCACTTTAACGAATGGCAACAGACTCCCGGATCCCTGTGGCATTACGGAATGGGTGGAAGATGTAGGTGCGTGGCCAGATATATATACGATTTTAGTGGAGAGGCCCAGTAAGTACACACGTGAGAAGCTACGGGCGTACAAGTCGTTAGATGCAGACAACTATGTTGTCTGTGGCCACGTACAGAAAGTAAAATATTACCACATAGACTCTGAGTTTTGAGTCTTGAAGGCAGAAGTCCTTCCTAGCCAAAGACAAGGACACAAGAGTGCTATGTACGAGGCTTGGGTCATAGTAAACAAACCAGAGAACTACGTACCTGCATGGCAGGGTGAGTACAGCATAGGTTTCTTTTTTTAGCGAGGAGTCCAATGACACCTCGCCTGTAAATAAATAGACTGCTTAAAAGCAAACCAGCAAACGCAACTTACTTTATTTAATAGAACACACATTAACCAGCTTTCTGGTGTAATCTTAGTACATAATTACCTTACCTGATATAAAATGGGCGCTACAAACGCGAGCATTTCTGATCGTGTTTTCAGTCCAGTTTTCATCAACCCTTTTGATGGCCTGCAGCCACAGACGCCTCCGATTTTGTTGAAATGGATGTGCTCCCTTCAGAATTCTGTAAAGTTTCAGTCCACTGCTTGAAGAGAAGCGATTCTGGCATCCATACACGCAACAACCCTACATTTTTATGTGCTCAGAACTTCAAAACAAAGGGTTTAAAACACTGTTTTAGTATCGAGTGTGAATGAGGAAGCCGTCACTCTCGTTGCCAGGCTGCGCGCGTAACTTTTGATGACGTAGGTAGTAAAAGGGTCTATAGGAGAGGAGAACTAGGTGGGAGGAGAAGACACAAATGAGGAGTTAAGGTGGATGCCTGATTCTGCTACATGTGATGCAAGCTTGGAAAAGGGATTCTTGCCTACTCGTTTTTTCTGATACAACTGTCGACAAAACTGTCCACTTAGGAAGCAACATTGACACTGTTGTGCAAATGGAATGGACAACAGATGGAGGTTATGGGCAATTAGCAAAACATTCCCAATAAAGGAGTCGTTCTGCAGGTGTGATCATGGGCCACTTCTCAGTTCCTGCTTTCTGGCTGATGTTTTGGTCAGTGTTGAATACTGGTGGTGATTTACTCTAGTGGTGGCATGAGACGGTGTCTACAACCCACACAAGTGGCTCATGTAGTGCAGCTCATCCAGGATGACACATCAATGCAAGCTGTGGCAAGAAAGTTTGCTGTGTCTGTCAGCGTAGTGTCCAGAGCATGGAGGTGCTAGGAGATGTGGAGGAGAATGTAGGAGGGCAACAATTTAGCACCAGGACCACTACCTCCACCTTTGTGCAACAAGGAACAGGAGGAGCACTGGCAGAGCCCTGCAAAATGACCTCCAACAACACGTGTCAGCTCAAACGGTCAGAAACAGACTCCATAAGTGGTATGAGAGCCCCACGTGAACCTGGGGGTTGTGCTTACAGCCCAACTCCAAGCAGGACATTTGCCAGAGAACACCAAGAGTAGCATTAGCATTATTTGCCACTGGCGCCCTGTGCTATTCACAGATGAAAGCAGATTCACACTGAGCACATGTGATAGATGTCACAGTCCCTACCGCGCTCCAGCCTTGGTGCAGCACTGAGGCATTGTCTATAGTTTTATTGTTGCTGAATGAGTTTAACTGGTTAATATTTGGTAGAAATGACATCACAGCCACTCAGATTAAAAAAAGCACCACTGTCACCAGCCTTGATAGCACAGACAATAAAATCAAAACAGCTGCTGGAACTGCAAAATAACATTTCAGTGACTGGGGCTTTAAGATATGATATTCTACATGGAAAAGGAGGCAAGCATGGCCATTAGTTTGGTGGGAATCCAATTTCTCATGTTTTCTGTTTCAGTCTGAGTAAATATGATAAAAAACAAACCTAGTGGTCATTTATCTAAGACTTTCCCTGTGTCTCCCAGGATTTTACAGTGAAATAAATGCAAAACAGCAGAGGTGTGACCAAGTCACTGCTTTGCAAGTCACAAATAAGTCACAAGTCTTGACTCAAGTTCAAGTCAAAGACAACCAAGTCCAAGTCGAGTCCAAAGTCAGTGATGTGGAAGTTCAAGACAAGTCCAAGTTCATAACTTTGAATTTTCAAGTCATAATCAAGTCATTTGTCCAACTTCAATTTAATGACAACGATAATAAATAAATTCCAGAAATAAAGCTTCTTAAAGCTTCATTTATTTGCTGAAACAAGCAGAAAGTGCAACTGAAACTGATTATAAACAAAGTGCTGCTGCAGTTAGCAGAACAAGATCAAACCCAGAACGAAGAACGACTTATGATTTTTGTCCATGTCGTGCCACTTTTGTGTTAAAATATTCAATATGCTCAAGTCATTATCAAGTCAACAGATGCAAGTCGATTCAAGTCGCAAGTCACTGGCGTTCAAGTCTGAGTCAAGTCATAAGTCTTTAAAATAATGACTCGAGTCCACACCTCTGCAAAACACTAATGTTGCAATCATGCTGGCAGGTTACCTTCAAACAGGTTTCCTTCTCAGGGGTAGTCAATTTTTTAAATGGTCAAAGAGGGACGTAGTTTTTGTTTACGATCCGTGAGACTGCGGGATTGCCAAGTCTGTGCCGAGCCTAACGCTGCAGCGCCGGCATTTGTAATGGGACATTAGCAGCAGAACTGGGAGTAAGAAAGTTACTTTTTGTTAAGAAAAACTGGTTGCAGTACTCACATTTGACCACAGGATGTAATTTTTAGTTCATCCTTACAGTGCACCTGTAAGGACTGAGGATGTTTAAGTTCGGATGTACTCTGCACTAACACACACACACACACACACGCACGCACGCTCGCCGGCAGGCACGCACGCACGCGCACACACACACACATTTATCTTTCATCATTGTGAGGATCCACCATTGACTACGTTTACATGCAGCCAGTATCCGGGTTATGATCGGGTTAAGGTCGGTATTCGGGTTTCTGAGTTGATCAGAATAACCCGTTTACAAGCATAAATAGAAAGAGTTACCTCTAACTTGCATAACCCGATGTAAATGCGGACGTTGGGGTAGCGTCAGGACGTATGGACTACGTCCAGACGCAATATGCGTCATTTTCGGTTCTTCTCGTTCCGGTATCCATGAAAACAACAACATGTTTCCCAGTTCGGAAGAGATAGCGACCGCGTTTGTTTGCGCTTTAGTTTCCTCGCCACTCCAAAAGTGTGGTGCTGTGCCGCGACTCGCCATTTTGCTCCCAACTCGTTGTTTACTTCCGGTGTTCTGGCGCATACAAGACGTCTCACTACTCAAAAGACCAAGATTCCTTGCGAACAGAGCATGCGCAGAACACACGCTTTGATGGGGATATCCCGGTATGCGTTTACACGACCAAACATTCGGGTTAGAAAAGGGTTACCCCAGGTGTAGTAACCGGGTTTTTAAAAACCCGGTTATGAGCATATCCGGGTTTTTGGCGGTGTTTACAAGGACCTGCGGAACCGGGTTATTGTGAATATTCAAGTTTTAAAAGGGTTAGTGTTAGAAAAATGTCCTCTCTTAAAAAAATGTGCTCACATTGTAGGGAAAATAGTGAAAATGGTCCTCAGTAGGTAGTGCACGCACGCTCTCTCTCTCTCTCTCTCTCTCTCTCTCTCTCTATCTCTCTCTCTCTCTCTCTCTCTCTCTCTCTCTCTCTCTCTCTCTCTCTCTCTCTCTCTCTCTCTCTCTCTCTCTCTCTCTCTCTCTCTCTCTCTCTCTCTCTCTCTCTCTCTCTCTCTCTCTCTCTCCCTCCCTCCCTCCCTCCCTCCCTCCCTCTCTGAAGCAGTAAAACCAGCAGCGGAGGCTGGATTAACAGTCTCTGCTGTGACCCTCTGAACCCACTCCTCTCTTCTGCCTACTTCTGGCTCATTTTTGCTTTTTTCCACCCTAAAGGCTGTTGATGCTCGTTCACACACAAATTCATAGATTCCAGCTGCTTGCTCTTTTACGCTAATTATCTAATATTAAAACATGATAATGATGAGAGGTTCTATACTGCACTGGACCTCTTTCAGCCTAAACGATGAATCAGAGTGAGTTCCCCATTAATAAAAATTGACATAGATTCACGGATCAAAGAGAAAATGACACAAATCAAAGGATGAAAACGAATAAAATATAAAAATATCTGTTAATCTCATTTTTACAGCACATTCCACACATTATTTAGAGGACGGAATCCCGAGCGCCCTCTTCTGGCTGAAACAACGCGATACAACAGTTAAGCGAGGAGAGGTCACGTGACCAACACGGAAGTCAACAAAGATTATTTTCCCAGAGAAATGAGGGGCTTCTCTAACGTCTATGTAGGAACATGGTCCGCTGTTTCCTGATCCACTCCGTGTGTCCCGTCAGCGTTCTGTCTGCCGGCGACACTCGGGTTCTTTACTCCCGGGTCTTCGGTCCAGACGAGGCGGTTCTGTGTGAGCAGCACCGGGAGCTCAGCTCGGAGGACAGGAGGCTGCTGCAAAAGGAGAAGATCAGCGTCGTAGCGAGGTATTCTGGCTGTCACTGTCAGGACCACACCTGGAGGCAGGTGTTGAGGAGTGGGTTTCCGAACACTTCCTTTCAATTCAATTCAAGTTTATTTATATAACACCAAATCACGACAAGAGTCGTCTCAAGGTACTTCACATAGTAAACATTCCAATACAGCTCAGTTCATTAAGCCAATCAGAAAAAAGTTTCACATATAAGGAACCCAGCAGGTTGCTTTACAGCAATCCTCATACTAAGCATGCATGCAGAGACAGTGGAGAGGAAAACTCCCTTTTAACAGGAAGAAACCTCCAGAGAATCCTGGCTCAGTATAAGCAGCCATCCTCCACGACTCACTGGGGATCGAGAAGACAGAACACACACACACCAAGTAATGTGTCTATAGTTATATTGTGATTTCTTAGTAAATATTCTATTTGGTGAGGGATAAACTTTATTGTATTTCTCCTAGTGAATCTATAATTAAACGGATAAACTAGTAGTAGCACATTCTATGCCAAGGAAAGCAAAAAGTTATTATCAGGAGAGGGATAATGATTTAGTGGTTAGCAGCAGTGTGCTAGTCGATGGCCCCCTCCATAAGGCCACCACAGCTCAGCAGAACATCGTTGTAGCTTCTTCTGGGGAGAAAAACACTTAGAGGGAAAATAAAGTTAACAGCTGAAATAGCAGGAAATAATACAGTTAAAGAGCAGATAGTAGAAGAAAGTAGTCGAGTGTGAAAAGTGGTTAGTGTGTCCTCCAGCAGTCTAAGCCTATAGCAGCATAACTACAGAGAAAACTCTGGATAGTCTATCCTATTTAGATGGAGGCATGTTGGAGGCAGGGCAAGGGAGAGACATCTTCACTAGGGATGTCTCGATCTCTAATTTCCCTCTGGGATTAATAAAGTATTGACTGATTTAGGGCTGCAGCTATCGAATATTTTTGTAATCGAGTACTCTATCGAATCTTTTTTTCGATTAATCGAGTACTCTAATAAATTACCCTTTTGTGTTTGTAAACCATTATATCAAATAGCATGTTATAAAATATGAAAGACCTTTCAAAATGAGAAAGCAATTGCCAGTTATTCTTCAAGTTTTATTCAAAATTAAGTTTGCAAAACTTCAGCACTTCAACTTTACTTCACAGTAAACAAATGCGTGTGCAAAAAATAAGTATACAGCCTGAGCCGATTTTCCCCTCGTGCGAGAATCTACCAGCCTGCAAGCCAGACAAAAACTAGGAGGATAACTGTTGAAGTAGCGCTGCGAGCGGCTGCGGCCCAAACAGAACCAGAACCGCTCACGGCGCATGCGCAAACAGCTCGCCGGCTGTTTCCCTATTAACACACGTCCGTTTTAATTTCTACACTTTTTTTTCTCACACAATAACAAGGATTGTCGAGAAAGCATGTTTGCTGTGGTTTTGTCAAATTATACTGATCACAAAACATTTATTTACTTTCTTTCGTTTTCCTCTCATAAATACCAGTCCTGCTGCAGCAATCCCGAGGGACACAAATATCAATAACAACACAATAAAAAGTCCGACATATTGTGTAAAAACTGCAATTTTTAGCACATTTTAAGTCCGACGTGTTGCTACCAGACGTATGGTGTGAGCTGAAACTGAGTGCTACAAACGAAAAAGTCGCACAGTGTCTGCAGAATACATAGAAATACAGGCTAAAATGCATTATCTTGTAGAGGATCCGAGTCCGCTTGCAGAAGTGACATTTACAGGTGCTGCAGCACGGAAGATGTGGTGTTGTGGTAGGCTAAATCCATTTTACAGTATTTACACTGGACTACGTTTTCCACCTTACGACGTGAAAAATGGTTCCACAACTTTTACATTTTCTGTCTTTTTCGCACTCCACCGGGGTTCAAGTTGTCCACCATGGCTTAAGAGAAAGTTAAGTTACATTCGCTACTCGCAGTGCAGTGGGCATGTGCGTCACTTATTTCGGTCCGGGTGAAACATGACCCCGTGCGTTTGCAAAACCATGAATTAATTAAATATGAATTAAACGAATCCTCGAGGCAGAGAATTTGACTCGAGGATTTTTTGTACTCGAATTATTCGAGGTACTCGAGGAATCGTTTCAGCCCTAGACTGATTGATTGATCCGATCACATGATTGGAAATCGACCCCGATCACGTGGTTTCAGACTGATCGGGACTCGGGCTTTACTTCCCAATCCAAGCCCCTCTGATACTGGGTTCAAATTACAGGAGAGCAACTTTGTTCTCCTTAAAGGTTGTCAGCCTCCCTGATGCCCTTAACTTACACACCCAGAAGGAGCACAAAGAGATCCAGTTTCTACTTTTATTATATTATTTATATGGACTCAGCGTAGCGGGGATTCTTTTGAGCAGAGAGCGGCAGGCAGACCGCTGATTATTCATGAACTCCAGCTGTGTTCTGCACACGGCCACAGTAACATTTTCTAAGTTTCTAAGTGGCGTCACCAAAAAATATATAATTAACACACAGTCTTTCATGTCAATTCATTTTCTCTCTGGTATGTTCTGTCTGGATTTGAGCATGACGTGTGGACGCGCTCGCGCTGCCCCCGCTGCAGCGCTCGTCACTGGCGCAGCCGGGCAGCGCGGCGCACTCCGCTTTTTTGAGGTCAATAGATCAATTTGATCTGCTAGTTAAAACGTTACTTGTGAGGTGAAAAAGAAGGAAGCAGGCAGGAGTTTTTCTGGAGGACTGGGAGATGCAGGAAGATCAGAGACAGACAGGACAGGAAGATAAGAAAATAAAAACCAAGAAAACAAAGTTCTTAAAAAAATAAAATATAGTTAGATTTATCCCACTACACGTTTGTACTTGTATAAAGCAATAATTTATCAGCATGTAGTATTTATATAGTTGATACAATTCAGATCATTTTGAAAACTCCGTCCCATGACCAGGGACGTATCTAAGCATTTTGGGGGCCAAGGCAAAATAGACCCCTGCCAGGTATTTTAAGTTGAAGTGCTATCTGTTTTTATATTAGACTTTTTATATTCGCAATAAAGTCCAAAAGTGAAACATTTATGTTATTTATTACTTGATTGTTCAAGCTACCTCACATCAGTTTCTTCCTTTTCTTTCTTTTTTTAAATTTATTTATCGAAAGTATTAGATCGGGACTCGGTATCGGCAGTCTCAAAATCAAATGACTCGGACTGGAGGGCCAAAAAAACCTGATCGGGACATCCCTAGTGTTTACCGACTGTACACTCCACCTTCCTCTACTCCCCCACTTGTCCAGATCTGGGCTAACATCAGATTTTAACCATAGGCCCTATCAAATAAAAATGTTTTAAGCCTTAAAAGTAGACAAGGTGTCTGCCTCACGGACTAAAGCTGGGAGCTGGTTCCACAGGAGAGGAGCCTGATAACTAAAAGATCTGCCTCCCATCCTAATTGTAGATATTCTGGGAACCACCAGTAAACCTGCAGTCTGAGAGCGAAGTGCTCGGTTAGAAGAAGAAGAAGCAAATATAATTTCTATAGCGCCTCTCAAGATAAAAATCACGAGGAGCTTCACAAAAACAAAAACAAAGAACATAAAAATTGTAAAAATGTAAAAAAGCATTTCGAAAATGTTTAAAAAATATATTTAAAATGAGCAAGAATAAGCAATTGCGATTTAAAAGAAAAAATGTTAAGAAAGAGAGAGAGAGTGAACAGGAAAGAGGGAAATCAGTGGATCCTGAGGAAGGTGGAATAGGTGGGGAGAGCAGAATAAAGAGAGAGTGGTGAAGAAGGTCATACAAAAGCCAGCTTGAACAAGTGAGTCTTCAGCTGCTTTTTAAAGGAGACCACTGAGTCCACTGATCTCAGGCTCAGGGGGAGAGAGGTCCAGAGTCTGGGGGCCACAGCAGCAAATGATCTGTCACCTTTGACCTTTAGCCTGGTGTGCTGCACAACCAGTAGGCTTTGATCACTGGACCTCAGGGACCTGCTGGGGGTGTAGGGACTAAGAAGATCACCAATGTAAGATGGTGCTTGTCCATGTAAGGCCCTATAGACCAGAACCAGGATCTTGAAATGAACCCTGAAGTTGACTGGCAGCCAGTGAAGCTGGAAGAGAAGCGGGGTGATGTGGGTGTGTTTGGAGGACTTGGTCAGGAGCCGAGCACAGGCGTTCTGAACCACCTGTAGACGGTTCTGGGAGGTTCTGCTCAGACACGTGAAAAGAGAGTTACAGTAGTCTAAGCGTGAGGAGATGAAGGTGTGGAGAACTGTCTCAAGTTCAGAGCGGGACAGAATGGGACTCAGCTTAGCAATGTTCCTGAGATGGAAGAAGGAAGAGCCAACAAGAGAATTGACGTGAGAATCCAGGGTGAGAGCTGGGTCAAAGGTCACGCCAATATTCCTGACAGAAGGTTTGGTGTGGGAAGCAAGCTGACCAAGAGAGTCTCTGACTTTGGTGACCAGCTTGTCTGGGACACAGATGAGGATCTCAGTCTTATCTTCATTCAGCTGAAGAAAGCTCCCACCATCCAGGTTTTGATAGAGTCTAAGCAGGTGTGTAACAGCTGCAGCTTAGACATCTCATGGGGCTTAAAGGAGATGTTTAGTTGGATGTCATCAGTGTAAAGATGGTAGGAAATTCCTTTGAAGGAGCTCAGGATGTGCTGAAAAGGAAGCAGATAGAGGAGGAATAGTAGAGGTCCCAGCACAGAACCTTGTGGGACACCATGGGTAAGAGAGGTGGTGGAGGATCTAAATCTGGAGACGGCCACAGAAAAGGAGCGCTCAGAGAGATAAGAGGAGAACCACTCCAGAGCAGATCCTGATAGGCCGACCCAGTCTCTCAGCCTCTCCAGTAGCAGGTGATGGTCAACAGTGTCAAAGGCTGCAATCAGGTCCAGCAGGACCAGAACAGAACAGTCCCCTGCATCACTCTGAGTCAGAAGGTCATTAGAGACCCTAAGAAGAGCTGTTTCAGTAGAATGAGCTCTACGAAAACCTGACTGGAAGCTATCATAGATGTTATGTTCATCAAGAGCAGCTGTGAGTTGTTTAGCCACAACCTTTTCCAAGATCTTGGAGATGAACGGAAGTTTAGAGATGGGTCTGAAGCTGCTATGGAGAGAGGGGTCGAGACTCGGTTTTTTAAGAAGCGGGTGGATTACAGCGTTCTTAACGTGAGCAGGGACCTGACCAGAGACCAGAGAAGCATTAATTATAGAGAGCACGCTGGGACCGATGGACTGAAAAGCACTTTTAAACAAAGATGAGGGTAAGACGTGGAGGGGGCATGCAGAGGTCTTCATAGAGTTAACTAGTTTGGTTAACTCAGGCAAAGAAACCGGAGCAAAGCTATCTAGGATGATGGGCCTGGTTGGAGTCGGGAGAGGCAGCGATAAGGCTGAAGGAGAGATGCTAGATCTAACCTTATTGACTTTGTCCACAAAGAAAGACAGAAAGTTCTCACAGTCTGCAACAGAGTGGATGGAGGCTGTAGGAGAGGCAGGAGAGACGATGCTGCTGATGGTGTTAAACAGCACCTTGGGGTTCCCTTTGCTCTGGGACACCAGGTTGGAGAAATAGGAAACCCTAGCGTCTCTGACTGCAGAGTTAAAGGATGACAGAAGATCCTTTAGGTGCAGCAGATGGACGTGGAGATGGGTTTTCTTCCACAAACGCTCAATTTTTCTGCATTGGCGCTTCAGGCTGCGAAGGCTGTCATTAAACCAGGGAGTAGAGTTCACTGCAGGAACTGATCTGGTTCTGACAGGACAGATGTTGTCCAGAATGGAGAGGCAGTGCTGGTTAAACTGAGAAGTTAAGGAATCTGGGTCGTTATCAGAAGAACAGGGTGGATCAAAAGCAGCAGAAAAATTGCTAGCTGTGCTCTCATTAAGAAAACGAGAACTAACCATACGGCGAGCAGGAGGTGGGGATGCAGAAACTGACAAGTTAAAGAAAATGCAATGGTGGTCTGAAATATAAACGTCCTCAGGACAAACACTGTCAGCATTTAGACTCAGGGTAAAAACAAGGTCTAGAGTGTGCCCCCTGGTGTGTGTGGGGCCAGAAACATGCTGGGTAAAGCCGAAGGTGTCCATAAGGCTGGAGAAATTCATGGCAAAGTGATCAGAGGGATCATCAACGTGGATGTTAAAGTCACCAACAATCACCAGTCTGGACAGCTTCACAGTGGAGGATAGAAAGTCACTAAACTCCTGAAGGAAAGAACTGTTTGGACCAGGTGGACGATAAACCATAGCACAGTAGAACGGGTCCTTACGCCCAACTTTAATCAGCTGCAGTTCAAAGGAAGCAAAGTGACCAGAGGTTGTAGAGCTACATGGAAGATGGTCTCTGAAAACAACAGCTAGGCCTCCACCACGACCAGAACCCCGGGGCTGGCTAAGAAAAGAATAACCACTCGGGCAGAGTTCAATCAGAGCAGAATAATCAGATGTTTGCTAACAAACTTCAGTCAGAAACAGAAAATCCAGGTTTTTAGACAGAATTAGATCATTGAGCAGGAAGGACTTATTGTTAACAGAGCGGGAATTTAATAGAGCCATGCTGAGTGAGGTGGAGGAATCAGAAACTACAGAAACAGCTGGAGTTAGTGGACGTAAATTAGCATGATTAGATCCACGGTGTTTATAAAAACCACTTATGGAGGGAACAGGAGGAGAAACCACTGAGGAATGAGGATAAGCCGACCTTAAAAAACTTGGACGGATGAACCGTGCCGCAAAGCGGCCTGGCAGGAATGCAGAAGTGGCGCTCAGGTCACCAAACAAAGGACAAGAAGCTAGAAGATAGTGCCGATGTTTACCAGATAAACCACGCTTTAAGAGAAGTCTTATTCTCATCTGGATTCCTGCTCGTTTACCTCTTTTCCTCCGACATTTTCCCGGGACCGGACAAACATCGCTAGAGGTGCGCAGCTCTGGATCGTCGATTGGTTCCGGGCCGGTACGCCGCTCAGGTAAACAAACAGGATGGTAAATCCTCGGTGCATCTTGGGCGATCGTGAACAAACGGAAGGACAAAAGAGTCTGGCGATCATAGGAGATGGTAGCGGGGACACTACTGAAGAAGATCGCAGACAGAAGCAAGGTGGAAAAGAGGAGGTTAGTGGAGAGAAGTTTGAAAAAGTGGCCGGTGACTGCAGCTAAGCCAAGCACAGGCGCCATCTTGCTGACCGGAAGGGAAATGGAACGTATGGAACAATCAGATCACTAATGTATGATGGAGCTTGATTATTAAGAGCTTTATATGTGAGAAGAAGGATCTTAAAATCTATTCTGAATTTAACAGGTAGCCAGTGTAGGGAAGCCAAGACAGGAGAGATATGATCTCTCTTTTTAATTCTCATCAGAACTCTAGCTGCAGCATTTTGGACAAGCTGAAGACTTTTAACTACATTCTGTGGACTTCCTGAGAGTAATGAATTACAGTAATCCAGTCTTGATGTAATAAATGCATGAACTAGTTTTTCAGCATCACTCCTAGAATGGATGCTTCTAATCTTAGCAATATTCCGAAGGTGGAAAAAGGAAATCCTACAAACCTGTTTAACCTGGGATTTGAATGACATGTCCTGGTCAAAGATAACACCAAGGTTCCTTACTTTGTTCTCGGAGATTAATGTAATGCCATTCAGGTCAGGTGATTGGCTAAGCAATTTCCTTTTCTGGATTTCTGGTCCAAAGATGAGAACTTCCGTCTTGTCTTGATTTAAAAGCAGAAAGTTTTGAGTCATCCAATTTTTTATGTCCTCAAGACAAGCCTGTAATCTACCCAACCGATTAGGTTCATCAGGGTTATTGGATAAATATAACTGAGTATCATCAGCGTAACAGTGAAAGTTTATCCCATGCTGTCTAATGATTTTACCAATTGGGAGCATATATATAGTAAAAATAATTGGTCCAAGCACTGAACCCTGTGGTACTCCACAAGTAACCCTGGAGTATGAAGAAGATTTGTCATGTACATTTACAAAATGAAATCTGTCAGACAGGTAGGATTTAAACCAGCCTAACGCTGTTCCTTTGATCCCTACAACATGTTCAAGTCTTTCTAAAAGAACATTGTGATCAACTGTGTCAAAGGCAGCACTGAGATCTAACAAGACTAGAACAGACACAAGATTCTTATCTGAGGCCATGAGAATATCATTTGTAACTCTCACTAATGCAGTTTCAGTGCTGTGATACTCTCTAAAACCAGACTGAAATTCCTCAAACAGAGCATTAGTGTTTAAATGCTGACATACTTGGATGGCCACTATTTTCTCCAGGACTTTGATTAAAAATGGAAGGTTAGATATTGGTCTATAATTCATTGGGTCATTTGGATCCAGAGAAGGTTTCTTAAGTGAAGGTTTGATTACAGCAACCTTAAAATCTTGTGGTACATACCCATTTACTAAGGATAGATTGATTATATTTAGAATGGGGGCAGTAACCAAAGGAAATGCATCTTTAAATAATTTGGTTGGGATTGGATCCAAAATGCAAGTGGAAGGTTTAGATGAAGCTAATATTTTTGATAACTCTGAAATCTCAACTGGATCAAAACGGTTCAAGCACAGATGAGGTTCTACAGTCACCTCTGAAGCTGCCTCACTTACTGAGGAAGAAGAAATCGCATTAGGGAGAATGCTAAAGATTTTGTTTCTAATAGAATTAATTTTACTTGTAAAAAATCCCATGAAGTCATTGCTGCTGAGGGCTAAGGGAATAGATGGTTCAGAGCTATGATTCTGTGTAAGTTTAGCAACTGTACTGAAAAGAAATTTAGGATTATTCTTACTCTCCTCAATTAGTTATGAAAAATAAGCAGTTCTAGCTTGTCGAAGCTTACTTTTATAAAGCAGAAGACTATTTTTCCAGGATAAGTAGGACTCCTAGTGTCATCTAATGCCACACGTAAAGAAGAAGTAACATTATGAACTAGATCATCAATTTGTGAGGGGCTAGAACTGAAAATATTCCCCTCTGCTACATTCCTCTGAGATGCTGAGGACAGTAAAGATGGAACAGTTGATTTAAAAGATGCAACAGCGTTGTCGGATAGAGACCGACTATAGTGAAATTTACTTTCATGTCTCGAGAGCTCAGTTATAAAAAACTCAAAGGTTATCAGAATGTGGTCCGAGAGGACTGGATTATGTGGAAAGATTGTTATTTCCTCACACTCTATGCCATAAGTCAGCACAAGGTCTAATGTATGATGGCAGGAGTGGGTGGAGCTATGTATTCTTTGAGTAAAACCAATAGAGTCTAAGATATTACTAAAGGCTACATTGAGGCTATCATTTTTAATGTCCACATGTATGTTAAAATCCCCCACTACAATGACCTTATCAGTATTTAGCACCAAATCAAATAAAAAAAATCAGAGATCTGACCTAGAAACTCAGAGTAAGGGCCTGGTGGACGATATAAAACTACAAACAAGAGTGGTTTCACAGTTTTGCAATCTGGATTAGGAAAACTAAGAATAAGATGCTCAAAAGAACTGTAACTATTAATCTGTACAGAAGCTGCAGAGGGGTGGGTTAAACTACAACTCTGCTTCCTGGTCTGGACCCTGGGTTGTCATGGAGGACTAATAAAATTGGCCATGTTCATCAGTCCCAGTAACCCTCCATCTTCCCTCTGACAGGCTGACAACCAAGCAGGAAGTTCCTTCCTGGGATCCTTTCTGCCACCCAGAACTGGGTCTTTCCAAACCACTCGGAGTCCATCATTTATCAGTGACGTGTCTACTCACCTGGAAGTTGTCAGTCTGAATCCTGTCCAGCCACAGCAGGTGCTGAAGAATCCTCTCTGGGAAACACTTCAGTATTCCTGAGCTGCTGTCACTAACAGCAGCTAAAAAAAAAATCCCATAAACACGCTTCAATCAGTGGCTTTAATTCACAGCATCACCATGACAATGGTTTTAAACAACTGGAAATTTTTGCTGAATATCACATTTTGATGTCCCTGTCTCTGACTGTCACCATGACCTCCAGGAGTGTTAATGGCAGCTTGTCCTCCTCAGGCAGGTCTGGAGTGCCGTCTCTCTGTCTCGGGAGGCTTCTGGTCGCCTGCTGGTGGACCCAGCTCCAGGTCAAGAGGCTGCAGCTGTTCAGGATGCAGACAGCGGAGTGATGCGCCTGAGAGCAGGAGACCCCTTCACCGGAGAGACGGTGGTTTTGTGGCTGGGGGTCCACAGTCTGGCCTTCACCCTGGTCTGTGAGCCTCACGAGAACCTGCTGCTGGCCGAGGGAACCCTGAGGAACCTGAGCCAACACTGCTTAGAGAGCCTGCACATGCTGGGGCCGGGCAGCGAGGTGAGAGGACCAGATCTGAGCATCCCTGACTGTAATGACACGTCATATGTGATGCTCTGTGTCTCCGTTAGTCTCACCGACAGGCCGTTCAAATGCAACTACACACATTATATAAACCACAGCACTTGAATTGTATTACAATGAAATGATGTAATTTGTCTCCTGTTGATTTAGTGACAACTAGACGGAGGCTTTAGAAGCAGGGTGTTGCACTTTGCAGACACTCCCTAGATGCTCGTCTCTGCAGCAGATGTTTTGAACATTGAATAAAAGGTCCAAGAATTGTTCGTTTTCACCGTTATGCCTTTGGGAGTGTGTTCAAACAAGGGAAAAGACTTTAGCATTTTCTTGTTTTAGCTAACCTGACATGTTCTGTTGGATAATGTGTAGGGCTGCACGATATTAGGAAAACCTGCGATATTCGATAACAGTGCTTAATATTGCGATATCGATATTACTCACGATAAATGGACAAATACTAAAGTATGCAGTGTTGATGTCGTCTGGCGTGTGACGTCTGCTCTGGGTTCAAAGCAAACAAAAACTAATGCATGAATTCCATTACAACATAACATTTTTATTGCAAAAACATGCAGCTGCACCTGCTACTGTATTAGCAGCTGCTCCTGCTACTGTATTAGCAGCTGCACCTGCTATTGTATTAGCAGCTGCACCTGCTACTGTATTAGCAGCTGCTCCTCAAATCAAATCAAATCACTTTTATTGTCACGTCACATGTGCAGGTACACTGGTACAGTACATGCGAGTGAAATTCTTGTGTGCGAGCTTCACAGCAAAAGAGTTATGCAAAAATACAGTCATGTAAAAACAAGTAAAATATAAAAATGGCTAATCTAAGTAATAATATGTATAAGTTGTAATGTATATACATTACTAAATGTTTATGCAAGTATATTATTATTATTTTTTTAAATATATCGTTCTACGTGTGTGCGTGTGTGTGTGTATAGTGTGTATATACGTGTTTTACAAATGAATAAAGTAAACAATAAGATAAGAGATATAAAATATACAGAGGTTGGTATGTGCAAAACAGTGGCATTAATGTACAGTATGGAGTGTGTAATGTTGGAGTTTCAGTAGTGAGGCTGAGGTGTCTGCGCCATGTTCAGCAGTCTGATGGCCTGATGGAAAAAGCTGTCTCTCAGTCTGCTGGTTCTGGACCGGATGCTGCAGAACCCCCTTCCTGATGGAAGGATGCTACTGTATTAGCAGCTGCACCCTCTACTGTATTAGCGGCTGCACCTGCTACTGTATTAGCAGCTGCACCTGCTACTGTATTAGCAGCTGCACCTGCTACTGTATTAGCAGCTGCACCTGCTACTGTATTAGCAGCTGCACCTGCTACTGTATTAGCAGCTGCACCCGCTACTGCATTAGCAGCTGCACCCGCTACTGTATTAGCAGCTGCACCCGCTACTGTATTAGCAGCTGCACCCGCTACTGTATTAGCAGCTGCACCTGCTACTGTATTAGCAGCTGCACCCGCTACTGTATTAGCAGCTGCACCCGCTACTGTATTAGCAGCTGCACCTGCTACTGTATTAGCAGCTGCACCCGCTACTGTATTAGCGGCTGCACCCGCTACTGTATTAGCAGCTGCACCTGCTACTGTATTAGCAGCAACACCTGCTCCTGTATTAGCAGCTGCACCTGCTACTGTATTAGCGGCTGCACCTGCTACTGTATTAGCAGCTGCACCTGCTACTGTATTAGCAGCTGCACCTGCTACTGTATTAGCAGCTGCACCTGCTACTGTATTAGCAGCTGCACCCGCTACTGTATTAGCAGCTGCACCTGCTACTGTATTAGCAGCAACACCTGCTACTGTATTAGCGGCTGCACCCGCTACTGTATTAGCGGCTGCACCTGCTACTGTATTAGCAGCTGCACCTGCTACTGTATTAGCAGCTGCACCTGCTACTGTATTAGCAGCTGCACCTGCTACTGTATTAGCAGCTGCACCCGCTACTGTATTAGCGGCTGCACCTGCTACTGTATTAGCAGCTGCACCTGCTACTGTATTAGCACCTGCTACTGTATTAGCAGCTGCACCTGCTACTGTATTAGCAGCTGCACCTGCTACTGTATTAGCGGCTGCACCTGCTGCTGTATTAGCAGCTGCACCTGCTACTGTATTAGCACCTGCTACTGTATTAGCAGCTGCACCTGCTACTGTATTAGCACCTGCTACTGTATTAGCAGCTGCACCTGCTACTGTATTAGCAGCTGCACCTGCTACTGTATTAGCACCTGCTACTGTATTAGCAGCTGCACCTGCTACTGTATTAGCACCTGCTACTGTATTAGCAGCTGCACCTGCTACTGTATTAGCAGCAAAACAACAAACTGCATGCATGCAGTTTCTCAGTGACTTTAAAACATCACCTCCACCATAAAACTTTTTCTGATGCTCCAAATACAGAAAAACATCCCTTGCCAGGGTTTTTAGAATAAATAGTTTAAATGTTAAATAATAGTTAACATCACTTAAATGCAACAGCAAATCCCAGAGGGACTGGGAGGAGAGTGCTGTAGCCTTTTAGCTAGAAGCTAACCGGAGCCACCACCCGGTGGAACACTAGCGACATGGAGGAAGGTGGGTTGGTTCACCGGCACGTGTCGGAGTCAGCCCGGTTATTATCAGCTGCTTAACGACACAGAGCGGACTCGCGTTCACGTTTGAAAGCAGCGCTGATTCCAGAAACCTCAGCACAAAGTCTCGTCTCGTCTCGTCTTCCTCCGCTTATCCGGGTCCGGGTCGCGGGGGCAGCATCCCAACTAGGGAGCTCCAGGCCGTCCTCTCCCCGGCCTTGTCCACCAGCTCCTCCGGCAGGACCCCAAGGCGTTCCCGGACCAGATTGGAGATGTAACCTCTCCAACGTGTCCTGGGTCGACCCGGGGGCCTTCTGCCGGCAGGACATGCCCGAAACACCTCCCCGGGGAGGCGTCCAGGAGGCATCCTGACCAGATGCCCAAACCACCTCAACTGGCTCCTTTCGATCCGGAGGAGCAGCGGTTCTACTCCGAGTCCCTCCCGAATGTCCGAGCTCCTCACCCTATCTCTAAGGCTGAGCCCGGCCACCCTACGGAGGAAACTCATTTCGGCCGCTTGTATCCGCGATCTCGTTCTTTCGGTCATTACCCAAAGCTCATGACCATAGGTGAGGATTGGGACGTAGATCGACCGGTAAATCGAGAGCCTGGCTTTCTGGCTCAGCTCCCTCTTCCCCACGACAGATCGGCTCAGCGTCCGCATCACTGCAGACGCCGAACCAATCCGCCTGTCGATCTCCCGATCCCTCCTACCCTCACTCGTGAACAAGACCCCGAGATACTTAAACTCCTCCACTTGAGGTAGGACCTCTCCCCCGACCCGGAGGTGGCAAGCCACCCTTTTCCGGTCGAGAACCATGGTCTCAGATTTGGAGGTGCTGATCCTCATCCCAGCCGCTTCACATTCGGCCGCGAACCTACCCAGCAAGAGCTGAAGGTCAGAGCTGGATGAAGCTAGGAGGACCACATCATCCGCAAAAAGCAGAGACGAGATTTTCCTGCCACCAAACTCGACACACTCCACACCACGGCTGCGTCTAGAAATTCTGTCCATAAAAGTGATGAACAGAACCGGTGACAAAGGGCAGCCCTGGCGGAGTCCAACCCTCACTGGGAACAGGTCCGACTTACTACCGGCTATGCGGACCAAACTCACGCTCCTCTGGTAAAGGGACTGAATGGCCCTTAACAGAAAGCCACCCACCCCATACTCCTGGAGCGTCCCCCACAGGGTGCCCCTGGGGACACGGTCATAAGCCTTCTCCAAATCCACAAAACACATGTGGATTGGTTGGGCAAACTCCCATGCCCCCTCCATCACCCTTGCAAGGGTATAGAGCTGGTCCACAGTTCCACGGCCAGGACGAAAACCACATTGCTCCTCCTCTATCTGAGATTCAACTATCGATCGGACCCTCTTCTCCAGTACCTTGGAGTAGACCTTTCCAGGGAGGCTGAGGAGTGTGATCCCCCTATAGTTGGAACACACCCTCAGGTCACCCTTCTTAAAGATGGGGACCACCACCCCGGTCTGCCACTCCCTAGGAACTGCCCCCGATGACCACGCAATGTTGTAGAGACGTGTCAACCATGACAGCCCTACAACATCCATAGCCTTGAGATACCCAGGACGAACCTCATCCGCCCCCGGGGCTCCGCCGCTGTGTAGTTGTTTGACTACCTCAGCAACTTCTGCCCCCGAGATCGGACAGTCCATCCCCAGGCCTCCCAGCTCTGGTTCCTCCTCGGAATGCGCATTGGTGGGATTGAGGAGCTCCTCAAAGTATTCCTTCCACCGTCCGACTATAGCCTCAGTTGACGTCAGCAGCTCCCCATCCCCACTGTAAACAGTGTGAGCGAGTTGCTGCCTTCCTCTCCTGAGGCGCCGGACAGTTTGCCAGAACCTCTTTGGAGCCGATCGATAGTCTTTCTCCATGGCCTCACCAAACTCCTCCCACGCCCGAGATTTTGCCTCGGCAACTGCCACTGCTGCACCCCGCTTGGTTATCCGGTACCTGTCTGCTGCCTCCGGAGACCCACAGACCAGCCACGCCCTGTAGGCCTCCTTCTTCAGCCTGACGGCTCCCCGAACCTCTGGTGTCCACCAGCGGGTATGGGGGTTGCCACCACGACTGGCACCGGCCACCTTACGGCCTCAGCTAGCAACAGCCGCCTCGACAATCGCAGAGTGGAACAAGGCCCACTCAGACTCAATGTCCCCCACTGCTCTCGGGACGTGGTCAAAGCTCTGCCGGAGGTGGGAGTTGAAGACCGTCTTGACAGGTTCTTCTGCCAGGCGTTCCCAGCAGACCCTCACTATGCGTTTGGGTCTGCCAGGTCTACGCGGCATGTTCCCTTGCCATCTGATCCAACTCACCACCAGGTGGTGATCAGTTGACAGCTCCGCCCCTCTCTTCACTCGG